GTGAATTTCAGACCCCTCCATGATTTCTAAGTGGGAGAACTTGCAAAATCGCAGGGTGTTCAAATACTTCTGTTCCTCACTGTACATATCTTTGCTAAACAAAAAATCCCAATACGTCTAAACTAATTGGTTAACGTGAAAGTTATACCTTTTACAAATGGCAGTATAGATATTGGAATTTTTTTTTAAATTTTTACTAGTAATGGTGGCGATCAGCGACTTATATTGGGACTGCGGCGGGCATTCTGACACTGGGGGGAACTAACCTGGGGTCTCTGACATCCCCAGTGACACCAATACAGTGATCGGTGCTCATGAAAAGCACTGACACTGTACTAATGGCACTGGGCAGGAAGGGGTTAACATGTGGGGCGATCAAAGGGTTAACTGTGTGCTGTGTTCCATTTGATATCTGTGTGGCTGTGTTTGTGCTTCACTGTAAGCACACTTCTTTACATGGCAGTGTGTTTATTTACAAACAGTTCTCCCCCCCCTCGTTGGAGATGCTCGGTAATCACCGGGCGCCGGCAAGTAATCCCCGACCGGGACCTGGCGATTGACAGCTGAGGCCACAAATGGTGGCGCGAGAGGGCGGACATGCCCCCTACCTGGAAATGCAAAATCACGTACAGTGAAGGAAATAAGTATTTGATCCACAGGTGATTTTGAATGTTTGCCCACTCGCAAAGAAATGATCAATCTAAAAATAGAATGGTAGATGTATTGTAACACTGAGAGACAGAATAGCAACAAAAAATTCTAAAGAAATGCATGTCTAACAAATGATGCACTGATTTGCATATTCATGAGGAAAATAAGTATTTGATCCCCTATCATTCAGCAGGATTTCTAGCTACCAGGTGTCTTTCATAGAGGTAACAAGCTGAGATTAGAAGCAGTCTCTTAAAAGGAGTGTTGCTAATCTCATTATGTTACCTGTATAAAAGACACCTGTCTACAGGAAATCAATCAGATTCCAAACTCTCCACCATGGCAAAGACCAAAGAGCTGTCCAAGGATGTCAGGGACAAGATTGTAGACCTACACAAGGCTTAAGTGGGCTACCAAACTATCGCTAAGCAGCTTGGTGAGAAGGTGACAGCAGTTGGTGCAATAATTTGCAAATAAAAGAAACACAAAACAACTGTCAGTCTCCCTAGGTCTGGTGCACCATGCAAGATCTCACCTCGTGGAGTGTCAATGATCATGAGAACAGTGAGGAATCATCCCAGAACTACACATGAGGATCTTGTCAATGATCTACAGGCAGCTGGGACCACCGTCACCAAGAAAACAATTGGTAACACACTACACTGACAAGGATTGAAATCCTGCAGTGCCCTCAATGTCCCTCTGCTCAAGAAAGCACATGTCCAGGCCCGTTTAAAGTTGCCACTGAACATCTGAATGATGCAGAGGAGGACTGGTTGAAAGTGTTGTGGTCAGATGAGACCAAAATCGAGCTCTTTGGCATCAACTCAACTCACCGTGTTTGGAGGAGGAGGAATGCTGCCTATGACCCCAAGAACACCATCCTAACTGTCAAACATGGTGGTGAAAACATTCTGCTTTGGGGGTGTTTTTCTGCTAAGGGGACAGGACAACCGCACCGCATCAAAGGGACGATGGACGGGGCAATGTACCATCAAATCTTGGGCAAGAACCTTCTTCCTTCAGGCAGGGCATTGAAAATGGGTCGTGGATGGGTATTCCAGCATAACAATGACCCAAAACACACGGGCAAGGCAACAAAGGAGTGGCTCAAGAAGAAGCACATTAAGGTCCTGGAGTGGCCTAGCCAGTCTTCAGACCTTAATCCAATTGAAAATATGTGGAGGGAGCTGAAAGTTCGAGTTGCCAAACATCCGCCACCAAACCTTAATGACTTGGAGAGGATCTGCCAAGAGGAGTGGGCCAAAATCCCTCCTGAGATGTGTGCAAACCTGGTGGCCAGCTGCAGGAAACGTCTGACCAAGAAGGTTGCCAAGAAGGGATTTGCCACCAAGTACTAACTAATGTTTTGTGAAGGGGATCAAATACTTAGTTCCCTCAAGAACATGCAAATCGGTGCATAATTTGTTAGACATGCATTTCTTTAAAATTTTGTGTTGCTATTCTGTCTCTCAGTGTTACAATACACCTACCGTTCAATTTTTAGACTGATCATTTCTTTGTGATTGGGCAAACATTCAAAATCAGCAGGGGATCAAATACTAATTTCCTTCACTGTATATGCACGTGATTTTGCGTATCTGTGCCCCCCTGTAGCAGTACTTCTGCTATAGGGCATACGGGAAGCAGTTAACATGAAATTAACCTTTGGCATATTCTTTGTTTTCAACACAGTGATTTTAAAATGTTGCAAATGTGGCATCTGTCAACAAGGGGTCAATTAAAAGTAAGTAGTAAAAATCCTTGTGTGATTATGTTGTAAATGAAGCATTGAAAGATGTACTCTCATGCTCAGATCGCTTCCTTTTGGCATTGATACTTGGACGGATTTACACCTAGGGAAGGGGCTATGTGGTTTTGGCACCAATACTTTTGGTACGTGCCGAGGTAAGAACATACATTTAAATAGTCCAACCTGAAAATGTGTTATATCTTTCGAGGATGCTACTGATGAGTCATCAATAGTACCAAGGACACAATAATTTGAAGAGTGGGGAGACAGAAAAAATAACCCCAAAACAGAGGTGATAAGTATAAAAGGCCTGAATCCAGACCTAATTAGGTGCAATATGAACTGTGACAAAGACAACATGAATAATCAGCAAGTGAACATAAAAATTACATAAAATGTAAAGGCCTGAACCCAGACCAAACTAAGTGCAATATAGATTGTGATGAAATACTTGAACAATAGTCACCAAGTGAACATAAATAATGTAAAGTTGGATAGTTACTTGTGAGCCACTGGGGGTTATTTTTTCACATTCATAGAAATTTAATTTTTTTATATTTACACAAATTATGGATTTAAGTATTTTTGTTTGATGAAATTGTTTGGTAATTGGTGGCACACACAGGTATTCAATATATCACAAGAGGTAGAATCTATTAGAGCGCGGTACAATATTGGATTATATGGTGAACATAAATAATGTATTCAACATAATAGGAATAACATGTCCTACATAAAAGTGCATAAAAAACACCATGCAAAGAAAATTGGACCAAAATCAAATGGAAAAAAATATGTGCAAAACTAATCATACAAGGTGCATGAAACTATAAATGCATCATAAATAATACATAAAAATGTAAAGGCCTGAAACCAGACCAAACTAAGTGCAAATAGGGATTGTGATGAAAACAACATGCACAATAATCAACAAGTGAACATAGATGATGTATTTAACATAATAGGACTAACACATCCTAAATAAAAAGCGCCATGCAAAGAAAACTGTGACAATCAAAAAGCAAAGAAATATATATGCAAAACTAATCATACAAGGTGCATGAAACTAAAAATGCACCTTATTAGGATTGATGCCAGTGAAAAACGCACAGTGGAAATAAACGTGCATCAAGAAGCACAAAAAATAATTAAAGCAATGTGACATATAACAAATATTGAGTGACCATCAAAATAAACCTAAGTGATCATCAAATCGGCATAAAGTCTAAATAGACCGCCAACTCCAAACGAACAAAGCAACTGGGTGAAAATGATAAATCCTTCACCGGCTAAAATGCCTCTTCATCTCCATGCCAAGACCCCAAGGGGCCACACAGCTTTCAGGTCTCACACTCCCAGGGCCCTTAGTAGATATCCAAGATGATAGAATCACACCAATCACAGGATTATGGCCTTCCTCACCATATAACCGTAATGATTTCAGTAGTGTTGAAACTGGTAATCCTTTTCACAGGAACATTAGCCAGCTCAGACGTACCCCAAAGGAAAAAGAGAGAGCACTCCCATAGTGTAGTAATTTTAAAGCAAAAACTTTAATGGAGAAATGCCAAATTAACATTTACATCACATCAGTTGAAATCAGGCCTCAAACACATGTATTGATATGGGTTTATACTTCCAGGGTGTACCAAAATGGCAGCGACCATCACCACGATCCGCTAACAGACCCAGACGTTACGTCACTGTCCTGTGATGAAGTCACAGGACAGTGACGTAATGTGTTGGTCTGTAGCAAAAGTGATACAAAAATGTAACAATGATGGAACTGCCACCATCTAACAGCGACATCCAGGCTCTCCACTGAAGTTAACACCTCGATAGGAGCGTCTTCTGATGAGAAGGGTAAAGAAAATCACCATGCAAATTCACTACAGTTACCGTATTTTTCGCTCCATAAGACGCACTTTTTTCCCCCCAAAAAAGGGGGGAAAATGTCAGTGCGTCTTATGGAGCGAATATAGAGCGGCCGGTCCGGTATTTCCACTGCCGCCATGTCAGAATACCGGGCCGGCCGCTCAGCTCTACAGCGGGACCTTATAGAGATGACTGCTGACCTTTGGGGAGGGAGGGGGAGCGGGTACCTGAATTTGACAGATACCCGCTCCCACTTCAGTGGAGTTGTTCTTTCATCTTACCTGTTCCTCTATCCAGCGGCGCGGTCTTCCCGGCTTCTGTAGTGTGGGAATGACAGCCGGGTGCCAAGTGCGCATGCGCAAGATGCAGTGCTTTTTGTGAATGGTAAGGCGGCACCTGGGACACATGACAGATCCCAGAAGCCGCCGGACCAATCACAAAGCGCAAGTGCTTCTCGCTCATGCGCACTGGGCACCCGGCTGTCATGCCGAGCGCCATTACAGAAGCCGGGAAGACAGCGCGCGGCTGGATAGAGGAACAGGTAAGATGAAAGAACAACTCCACGGAAGTGGGAGCGGGTACCTGTCAAATTCAGGTACCCGCTCCCCACCTCCCCAAAGGTCAGCAGTCATCTCCTGTACTATACACAGTCTCTGGTCATCCCTGTGCTGTCCGCAGTCTCTGGTCATCCCTGTGCTGTCCGCAGTCTCTGGTCATCTCTGTACTGTCCGCAGTCTCTGGTCATCTCCTGTACTGTCCGCAGTCTCTGGTCATCTCTGTGCTGTCCGCAGTCTCTGGTCATCTCCTGTAATATGTCCGCAGTCTCTGGTCATCACCTGTACTGTCCGCAGTCTCTGGTCATCCCTGTACTGTGTCTGCAGTCTCTGGTCATCCCTGTACTGTGTCTGCAGTCTCTGGTCATCCCTGTACTGTGTCTGCAGTCCCTGGTCATCCCTGTACTGTGTCTGCAGTCTCTGGTCATCTCCTGTACTGTGTCCGCAGTCTCTGATCATCTCCTGTACTGTGTCCGCAGTCTCTGGTCATCTCCTGTACTGTGTCCGCAGTCTCTGGTCATCTCCTGTACTGTCCGCAGTCTCTGGTCATCTCCTGTAATATGTCCGCAGTCTCTGGTCATCTCCTGTACTGTCCGCAGTCTCCGGTCATCCCTGTACTGTGTCTGCAGTCTCTGGTCATCCCTGTACTGTGTCTGCAGTCTCTGGTCATCCCTGTACTGTGTCTGCAGTCTCTGGTCATCCCTGTACTGTGTCCGCAGTCTCTGGTCATCTCCTGTACTGTGTCCGCAGTCTCTGGTTATCTCCTGTACTGTGTCCGCAGTCTCTGGTCATCCCCTGTACTGTGTCTGCAGTCTCTGGTCATCTCCTGTACTATGTCTGCAGTCCATTAGTTCAGAATTTTTTTTTCCTGTTCTCTGCCTCTAAAACCTAGGTGCGTCTTATGGTCAGTTGCATCTTATGGAGCGAAAAATACGGTAGCTAAAGAAGTAAAAAGCCAAACTGGGGTGATTGTTTCCCATGACACAATACAGCGTACACTGCAGAGAAATGGCATGCATGGGTGTCATCCACAAAAGAAGCCTCTCTTAAAGCCCATGCACAAAAAAAACAGCCTAGAATTTCCCAGGGCCCATGCTAAAAAAAGAAGACTACTGTACTCTGGAGTGATGAGACAAAGATACATGTTTTTGGAACTGATGGCTTCAAAGCTATAGTGTCTCAAAGCAGTGTCCTTCTGTGAGGCTGCATGAGTATAGCTGGTGTTGGGGAGCTGCATTTCATTGACGGTATCATGAATTCACAAATGTACTGCTCTATATTGAAAGAGAAGATGCTACCATCACTCCGTGCCCTTAGTCATCGTGCGCTTTTCCAACATGGCAATGATCAAAATCACACATCTATGGCTACTGTGCATTTCTCTAGAACAGGGTGTAAGTGATTCAGTGGCCAAGTAAGTCTCCTGATCTGAATCCAATCGAACACCTATGGGGAATTCTGAAGAGAGACAAGTTGAGCATCACTCTCCATCCAGGCTCTAAAAGAGGTTGTTCTTTAAGAATGGAAAAAGATAGATCTTGCAATATGTCACCAACTTGTTCATTCCATGCCTGGAAAACTTAGTGCACAGCTCATGGAGGTCATACAAAATACTAGATGTAGTCATTTTTGTTGTGGGTGTACTCCATTTTTGCATCAACTAGTTTTAGTAATACTGAAGATTTTGTAATCTAAATTATATTATTAACCTTACTTTTATGTAATGAGCTAAACAAAATGTTCTATAAAAACCTCAGTTTTGTCAAAATGTTGGAAATTGTTCTTGTGTTCATTGAGATAATGATTCAAATCTTACTTTTCAAAAGTGGTGTACTCATTTATGCTGAGCACAGTATATGTTTATAGCCAGTGGTAAAAAGGTTAAACTAATCTCCCCATCCGCCTTGTAATAGAGATGAACAAGGGCAGGCATACAATGCAGTCTAGCTTGGGTGACAACCAGGACACTATCTATAGTCAATTGAACAGAGCCACTCAAGAAAAGGAAGTGTGCTATTTGTAGGATTATCAGGGGATAATAAAGGGAAAAAAAATGAAAACTAATGCAGCTGCCACATCAAAGGACTGGTAAGCTGTAATATAGTATATCTATGTTTTGAGTTTAGATACACTTTAAAAGTCAGGATTTAGGAGGGGTTTTAATTTTAATGTGCCCTTATCTATGCTATAAATGTATGGTGTCTACCTGTGTGCCTAACCTTTCCAGCTTGTATACAGTATATTCTTTTTATAGTTAATACCTTGTTCATCTTGTCAATGTGGGTGACAAATTGTCAAGATCTGTGGGTGGTTTCTAAGGTCTTAGCAGGTCATTTCCTGTATCTTGATAGTGCAGTAGTCCCACTGGCACTTTTGACCCTTTCCAGGCAGTGTCCATAGCACAGTGTGACAGGAGTTTGTTATGCCAGATCATTCGCATTTCTAGCTGGATGAGAAGCAGTCTGTGTTGGTGGACCCAAATGAAGAACCTAACCTAGAATTATCAGTTAGGTGCCACAACCTGGACCATAATTACCACTGATGCCAGCTGCATAGGTTGGAGAGCCAACTGCCAAGGTTACAAGATACAGGATGCGTGAAATTTCCAGATTACAGGGGTAGAATTCACCAGAGTGGAGCTCTTAGCAACAGAGTTGTATTACAAAAGGGAGGTAGAGGGCTGGAGATTGATCTCTTCCCTCCTCAGATTATTGCAAAGTGAAAAGGTTCTTCACAAGGTAATCATCCCCTGCAGAAGAAGTTGTGAGCACCGTGATCAAATGTGGATCTTCAGATTGGGGTACACATTGCCCTCAATTCTTATCTTCTAATCGAGATATTAACAGTGCTGGCAGCTATTCCATGTTGGCTACAGAGGATGTGGTACCAACTCCTTCTCCAGCTCAATTGGGGCAAACTAATGCCTCTACTAGTAAGCCATCTTCTCTTGTCACAGGAAGGTAGCATTCAAGGAATGGAACATGAAAGGGGGGGGGCGCATGTGCGCAGTCGGGGAAGATGGCCTCCTAATTCTCCAGCTCTGCGCCGCCGGAACTTAGCTGTCAATATCCCGGATATGACCAGAGATGCGTGGACTGACATAGGGAATAGCAGGCTTCAGGAGTGATGTAATAATATAATTTATTTGTGAGACACACCAATAAACAAATGCACTATGCAAGTAAAAACCAAATAATAAAAACCTTCACCCAATATATATATGTACAGAAATACAAGCGTAGTCAGGGCTAGCCGGGGTCATACACACGAGAGGTAGAATAGTCAGGCAGGCCGGGTCAGGATCAATCGGGCGGATCAGGTACAGAGGACTAAGCAAGCGGATAGTCAACGGGAGAGCTGGGTCAGTGCAGGCAGAGTTCAATCATAGTCAGAGTCAAGCAGCTAGATCACAGGAGTAGGTAGTAGATAACAGGGAAACACAGGTAACAGGGAAACACAGGCTCATGGGAAACAAAACACCAAGGCACTGGTTACAGGCATGATTGCTGCTGAAAGGCACTCGCTGGTAAGTCCTGGTACTGCAGCCCATAGAGCAGGTGAGCCACAGCACCTCCAGCAGTGAGCCCTTTCCTGACACTAGCCCTCAACACATCGGACTCTTCTACTCCTCCACCGAAGCCCCGCTGTAGGCAGTACTCCTCGGACACCTGGACAACATTGGAGGATGCATTGAACCCCAAAAAACAAGCCCAAACACTGGGCACAATAGAGGGCCTCTCCACTCCTGAGAACAGGCAAGATGGTGCCCAACCCTCCTTAGCCGGGTGACACCACGAGGCTGTCGGCTGCTGATCCTGACTCTGGGGAGGATAGCCTGCAACAGTTTCCCTCTGTACTGTCCAGTCCTCCTGTGCAATGCCCTGAAGCCTGCTCCACAGGTTTTGCTCTATAATGCAGGAAGAGATCACAACTGCATCTCGCAAACTTTCCTTTGATTTGGTAAGGGGCCTTAAAGAGCTGGGACATCGTGCCCAGCAATTGAACAACGCATGGACTTAGCGACTACTGTGCTGGAGGGCCATGAACAGGAGGTGGAAGATTATAATGCTGAATTAGACACCCTGAAGAATAAACTAGAAGATGCAGAAAACAGGGCTTGCAGGGATAATCTCCGCATCCTCTGTGTTCCTGAAGTGATTATTGACCTGCAAGGTACCGCCATGGCCCTCTTTCAAGAACTTGCTCCTGAGGTTCCCTTGGAACATTTTGAATTTGATCGTATCCATAGAGCTTTGGCTCCTAAACCTACGGAGGGCCCTCTTACAGGCGGCCCAGGACCGACAGGCGCTTGACTTCCAGGGCAATTCCCTCCAGATATTCTCAGATTTGTCTCCAGTCACAATAGCAAAACGTCACACCTTGAAGCCCTACAAATTCGACAATCCAATGGTATTAAATACCGCTGGGGATTCCCGTTCAAGCTCTCATTCTCCTATCAGGGCCACCAGTTCCAAGCATCTTCTCCAGCGGATTTGCGTTGCCACTTCCCAGAACTAAAGCTTGAACTGCCACCCTCACAGGGTGAAGTGGCTCCCACTATATCCCCTTTTGAGAAGTTCCCAATTGTCACGCAAATCGCCTCCTCCATCCCAGAGCATCTCCCAAGCTCTTCGGTCCCTACAAGATCAACGTTTTAAGGAAGTTGCTGCGGGATGAACTCACGAATCCCAATGGTTCAATCCATTACTCTTTTCTACAATTGCCACTGTTACTATGAAGCCTTTCTGCCACACTTTTGGTCCGTAAGTAGCGGGATGGAACAATCCCTTAATTACAGTGACTTCCACTCTGAGGAAATGAGGTCATAATGACTGATTTTTATTTATGATAAGCGTGGGTCCTTTGTCATGGATCTGTCCCTGTTTACTGGGACAGACCCAGGAACAGACTACTGTCTGTGGGTCCTCCTAAGACCCTATTCTTTATGATACTCAGCTGCTATGGAGCCCACATCCTGATATACCAATCGACCGCTATTTGTGGAATTATCTAGCCCTTACTATATGTTTAACTATTCATCAATTTTAGTTATGCCGAGTGGTTCCGGCGGGCCACTGCACCCCCTATGAGCTGGCATATGGTTGGGACTGCCATCCTGACCACCAGCCAGCCCTCATATGGGTCTAACCCCCCACAGCACGATGCAATTATACTTGTACTATACCTTTTGAGCCAAATATATATTGGTCTCACAGTAAACTGTTCTTTTAATCGCCTACATTTTTCTCTCTTCTCCTTTTTTTTCTTATTCTTTTCCTTTTTTGTCCTTTGTGTTTACTTTTTTTCCAGGGTTTATGACAGAAGGTATCTTCCCATTTTTCCATCGCTATTCCGCTGAATTGGCTATCCTTAACCCCTTGCTGCCGGCACCTCCTGGCCCCTTAAGGGTTTCAGATCCCGGGAGGCGGGGGCGGGGTTTAGGGTCATCCGACCGCCGTCACATGATCAGGAAAGGTCCCGATCGAAAGAGGAGATCGGGACCTTTCCATGAGTACCGGACA